CGGGAGACCGGCCCAGGTCTCAAAAAGGTTGCCTGTCCCTGGTCTAAGTCATCATCTTAGTTTTTAGGGATATTTCTTGCTTGATCTGTTCTAGGACCCATTTGTTTGTCCTTTTGGCTGTCCATGGGATCTTCAGCACTCTTCCCCAGCACCACATTATCTCAAATGCATTGATTTTCCTCCTATCTTCTTTCTCGACTGTTCAGCTCTCACATCCTTACATGGTAATAGGGAATACAATGGCTTGTATGATTCTAACTTTTGTGCTAAGTTGTGTGTCTTAGCATTTTAGGATTTTTCTAGTTCTTTTTTAGCCGCCCTCCCCATTTTTAATCTTCTTCTGATTCCCTGGCTGCAGTACCCATTTCTATCAATGTTTGATCCCAGGTATGGGAATTCTTTTACTATTTCTGTTTCTTCATTGTCTAGGTTGAACTTGTGAAGGTCCTCAGCAGAGAGGCAGCTGGAAGCTGGGAGAAGGCAGAGAGGAGTAGCCAGAGGCATGTGCCTGTGGCTCCTTGTCCCCAGTGCCATTTTCCAGCTTCCAGCTATCTCAGAGAGACAGCTGAATACTAGAGACCTTTGCAGACTGCCAGAAATAGCACTGCCCTGGCTCAGTGCTAGGGAGTCATGGGAATTGTATTTTTTTCTGAGACATTGAGTCTTCTCTGTCAGAGAGCTCTGGTGCCACAATAAATTACAGGTCCCATGATTCCCTAGCACTGAGCCAGAGCAGTGCCTCAATTTAATGTGCACTATTTCTGGCAGTCTGCAAAGGCCCTAGGAAACAGCAGGGAGGAGGAGCCATAGGTGTGCACATGCCTGTTCCTCCTCCTCCTCCCTGATCTATGCTGGGCAAAATGGCATCGCGTATGCCATAGGTTCGCATCGTGGCTGTAGAGCGTCCTGCTCCTTGGTTTGAACTTTCCCTTGATTTCTCAAATTTTGTGGAATAGGTCTCTCATTCTTCCATTGTTGTTGTTGTCTTCTATTTCTCTACATTTGTAGTTGTAGTAATTTTCCTTATCTTTGTTGTTGTCTACAATCTACAAGGATTCGTTTCATAAACCTGGCAAAGTTTGAGCGCCTGTATAATCCAAATGTTTTGCCATAGCCTGAACTAGTTGTGATAACTACACATGAATTTTCTTCCAGGCACCAGTTAAAAGAGCTAAATAATTCATGTATTTTATATTCAGTTTTAGTGCTTATGTCTGTCTTACAGATGGGTATGCAATAAGAAAATCCATGGCTTACATGCATTTGATTTATACATAATTAAGACTTGTCTGATTTATCAAGATCACAAAACAGCCTTGTGTTGGCCTCAAGTCTAAACCAGTGTGGTTCTGCCTTCTTTTGAGCCTGGTCCTATGTATGTTTGTTTAGAAGTAAGTTCCTAGCCTCACTGATGTTACATATCATGTGGTGTATGTGTATGTGTATGTGTCTTCCAATTGCCTGTTGGTCCTGGGTTTCCCCTGTCTTACTCTGAAATAATATAATACACTTAGGATGGTAATTTGATGCTGCATAAGTGAAAGTGGGCTTTTTGGCATGATTATAACTAGTACTATGTATAAAACATGTATCTTAAACACACATTGTCTGGGGGGTCATCCACCCACCCATTTTTCTGTGGCAGATAGCCATGACTAACAGATATTCACATACATTGTATATGCATGTGATAAATGAAATAAACCAGGGGTAGGCAACCTTTTTGAGCCGGGGGCCGGGTTGCTGTCCCTCAGACAATTGGGGGGCCGAAGCACCATAAATAAATAAATAAAAATTAAAAATTAAAAATTAATTTAAAAAAATTAAAAATATGCATGCACACTCTCTCAGCCCCAGAAAAACCATGGCAACCCCCCCCCCCCGTGGAGATTTTGCCAAGAAAAACCCAAGAACAAGTAATAACAACAATAATCAATATCATCATGGTGGGCAGCGGCGGCGGCGGCAGGACCAGCCTGGGGCTGGTCCAAAGGCCTTGGGGAGCCACATCTGGCCCCCGGGCCTTAGGTTGCCTACCCCTGAAATAAACCATCACAGTACACCAAGCCTGTGAGTAGAAGTAGCTGAGTGACTGGGGTGTCTGTTTTGTTGTATAATTGGCCCTCCGTTTTCATAGGGGATCTGTTCTGGACACACACATATGCCGCAAAAACAGAGATTCATGAATATTCAAGCCCTATAGGCTTGAATGGGGCACGCACCCTTGGGAGCGCACCCCATTGTTTTACCGCAGACATTAAGTACGCAAGAATGGAGGGGCAACTGTATATAAAAATCAGCTGAATCCCTGCTCTATTCAAATGTACATTTGGGATAACAGGCCACTTTTTCCAGGAAAGAGAAAAGGTGCATTCCTTCCTCCTGAAACTAAGCCATCTACTAGTTTGGCACATCAACACTCAAACTTAGAACAGGGTTCTCTAGACAACCATCTATTGAGTGTCAGTTGCTAACTCTTCATGTGTGTCAAATAATATGAAAACCACATCTGGAGTTTGATCTGCACTATCCATTTCACAAACACTCAACACAGCCAGAGATGTCGATATTCAGAGGTGGAGCCATGATACCGAAAGACTGCTTCATATGTCACATGAAAGCACTTTGGTGCAAGGATGATCATGAACACTCCTTCCTGAGCTGCAGAATGTACACAATGCAGAAAACATTTCCCACATCCAAAAAGACCATGGGATTTCACTTGTAGGGCCAGTGTCACATGTGAAAAGAATCTTCTTGTTTTATTCTGTGAAGTGCTATGGTGCTATGTTGTTGTTAACTGCCTTCGAGTTCTATCTTTCCTAGCATTATTCAAATTCTAATTAGTCGTGCTTTCTTATGATGTGGCCAAAGTATGACACCTCAATTTAGCCATCTTGGCTTTCAGGGAGAGTTCAGGCTTGATCTCTTCTAGAATCCATTTGTTTGTCTTTTTGGCTGTACTTGGCATCCTCAGCACTCTTCTCCAGCACCACATCTCAAATTAATTTTGTTTTTTCTTATCTGCTTTCTTGACTGTCAAGCTCTCACATCCATACATAATAATGGGGCATACAATGGCTTGTATGATTCTAACTTTAATGCTCAGTTGTATACCTTTACATTTTAGGATCTTTTCTAATTCTTTTATAGCTGCCCTCTCCATTCCTAGCTTTCTTCTAATTTTCTTGATTGCAGTCCCCATTCTGATCAGCGTTTGATCCAAAGCATGGGAATTTTCCTATTTCAATTTCCTTATTGTCTAGGGAGTTTATCACACGGGGGAAATCCGGTGCAGAAACAGGGCTTTAAATTAGAAAAAAAACCCCACAAAAGTGGTTAGTTTTTCAGACGACGTCACTGTTAAAATGGGGTTAACCCAAACAGAAAGTAGTCAGAAACTGCTTCTTTTTACTCCCAAAAGTAACAGCGTCTGAAAAACTAACTGCTTTTGCGGTTTTTTTTTTCTAATTTAAAGCCCTGTTTCCGCACGGGATTTCCCC